AGGGAGGAGAGAGAGAGAGAGGGAGAGAGAGGGTAAGAGGGAAAGCAGGCATAAACTCAACATATTATAATTATAATATAATTATCAACATCATTATATATATATTAATATCAAGATTATATTAATATTTAAATAATTGATAGAGTCTAACACCTTTAAATTAAAAGATTATATCAATGAATTCAACATTCAACAACCACATCTCAAAAATCTCACACAAAAAAAAAAAATGCGAGCGGGCGACGACGACGCGCGTTCTCTTGTCCCGCTCGCCACTCACCGCAGAGGGCGCTGAGTTCGTCGGGCGACGCGTAGGTGAGGACCGCCGCCAGCGCCTCCTTCCAGCGGGACAGAGCGCAGCAGGAGACGATCTGCTTCCAGTCCCGACGCACGATCGACGAAATCAGCTGCAACGCAGACGAAACCGCAGCGCTCAGCAGGTGGCGCTAGCTACACGGCTCGCTCAACAGGTGGCGCTAGCTACACGTCGTGCTCGACAGGGGGCGGCACCTATGCGACGCGCTGCCGCGTTCTTTGCCGGTGTGAGCGCGAGATGGAGTAAATGCGGACTGGTGGATAGCGAGATAGAGCCTCTTATTAGCACTTCCCTCCCACTGCAGTCGGTAGCCAGCTCTGCCACGGAGGGGTTTCGAATAACTTTGTTACTTCTGCCTTGTGCTAGACTACCCCGACCCTAAGAGGGCACCCCTCCCCTGGATACACTTCCCTACCCAGGAGGAGACACTATGTAAGATAGTAAGCGTAGGCGTAGGGCGAGGCGGGGTGAGGGCAGGGCGGGGTGAGGGCAGGGCGGGGTGAGGGCGGGGCGTACCTTGCTGGTGATCGCCCGATACACTCCCCATACGCTGGAGGAAGAGACAGTAAGCGTAGGCGTAGGGCGGGGCGGGGCCCCAAGCGGAAGGACTGACCCTCCCTAAGACTCCCCCTCCCCCGGAGGAACTCTCCCCCTCCCCCTGGAGGAGACATCATGTTAGACAGAAGGTATAGGCGGGGGCGGGGCGGGGCAGGGCGGGGTGAGGACGGGGTGAGGGCGGGGCGGGGCAGGGCGGGGTGAGGGCGGGGTAAGGGCGGGGAGGGGCCAGGTGAGGGCGGGATGAGGGCGAGGCAGGGCGGGGCGAGGGGGGGGCAGGGCGGGGTGAGGGCAGGGCGGGGTGAGGGCGGGGCAGGGTGAGGGCAGGGCAGGGCGTACCTTGCTGGTGGTCGTGCGATGCTGCGCGAAGTATCGCTCTTGCGTGGCCTGCAGCAGCCGCTGCCCGCCAGCGATCGCCAGCACGATGGCGTCTGCTACGCGGTCGTCACGGAGACACAGGTCGACGGCCGCCTCCAGGTTACCGGTCAGCAGAGACTGTCCGATGAGACCGTCCACGTCTGTGTGCGTAGAGAGACAGAGAGAGAGAGAGAGATAGAGAGCGGTCATGCAGTGGTCAGTCAGGAGGTCATGTAGAGGTCACTCAAGAGGTCATGTAAAGGTCACTCAAGAAGTCATGTAAAGGTCACTCAAGAA